TGTATGTTTGTCAGTATGTCTGTCAGTGTATGTTTATGTCAGTATATCTGTCAGTGTATGTGTTTGTGTCAGTATGTATGTCAGTGTATGTTTATGTCAGTATGTCTGTCTGTGTTTGTGACAGTATGTCTTTCAGTGTATGTTTGTCAGTATGTCTGTCAGTGTATGTTTGTCAGTATGTCTGTCAGTGTATGTTTATGTCAGTATGTCTGTCAGTGTATGTGTTTGTGTCAGTATGTATGTCAGTGTATGTTTATGTCAGTATGTCTGTCTGTGTTTGTGTCAGTATGTCTTTTAGTGTATGTTTGTCAGTATGTCTGTCGGTGTATGTTTATGTCAGTATGTCTGTCTGTGTTTGTGTCAGTATGTCTTTCAGTGTATGTTTGTCAGTATGTCTGTCAGTGTATGTTTATGTCAGTATGTCTGTCAGTGTATGTGTTTGTGTCAGTATGTATGTCTGTGTTTGTGTCAGTATGTCTTTTAGTGTATGTTTGTCAGTATGTCTGTCAGTGTATGTTTATGTCAGTATGTCTGTCAGTGTATGTGTTTGTGTCAGTATGTATGTCAGTGTATGTTTATGTCAGTATGTCTGTCTGTGTTTGTGTCAGTATGTCTTTCAGTGTATGTTTGTCAGTATGTCTGTCAGTGTATGTTTGTCAGTATGTCTGTCAGTGTATGTTTATGTCAGTATGTCTGTCAGTGTATGTGTTTGTGTCAGTATGTATGTCAGTGTATGTTTATGTCAGTATGTCTGTCTGTGTTTGTGTCAGTATGTCTTTTAGTGTATGTTTATGTCAGTATGTCTGTCAGTGTATGTGTTTGTGTCAGTATGTATGTCTGTGTTTGTGTCAGTATGTCTTTTAGTGTATGTTTGTCAGTATGTCTGTCAGTGTATGTTTATGTCAGTATGTCTGTCAGTGTATGTGTTTGTGTCAGTATGTATGTCAGTGTATGTTTATGTCAGTATGTCTGTCTGTGTTTGTGTCAGTATGTCTATCAGTGTATGTTTGTCAGTATGTCTGTCAGTGTATGTTTATGTCAGTATGTCTGTTAGTGTATGTGTCTGTGCTTGTGTCTGTATGTCTGTCTGTGTATGTCAGTATGTCTGTTATTGTATGTGTCTGTGTATGTCAGTATGTCTGTTATTGTATGTGTCTGTATGTGTGTCAGTGTGTCTGTAATTGTATGTCTTTGTGTATGTGTGTCAGTATATGTGTCTGCATATGTCAGTATGTCTGTAGTGTATGTTTCTGTGTGTGTCAGTATGTCTGTCAATATGTGTCTGTCAGTGTGTGTGTCAGTATGTCTGTCAGTGTATGTCTCTGTGTATGTGTGTTAGTATGTCTGGCAGGGGGCAGAGTCCAGGGGCCCCAAGCAAATGGTTGCCCAGTGTCCGGTCAATATTAAAGACGGCCCTGCCTATCGGTGGGGAATGAATTGGAAGCCATCTCAAAATGTACTCCCACCTGGTTCAAAAAACCCCTGCATAAAGACAGATCCCCACAGTAACAGGGAGTTAGACAAATGGATGTAGTAGGATGAGACGTGGATGGTAAAGATACAGCACCTTCTGTTCTCATCCACTTCCTGCTGGAGACAAGTAGTTCTAGTGAGGATAGTTTGCAAAGCTTTGGCAAACTGATCCATCCTACAATCTAAACCAGTGGTAGTCAACCTTTTTCTACCTACCGCCCACTAATGCATCTTTTTGGTTGAAATACATTGAAATACAAAGACATACACACACAGCCAGACACAGACACACACACACATAAGACATACATACACAAACAAACACACACAAAATATTTTAGTCACCCTCCTGTTTCCTACCTTGAAGGTGCAGGAGGGTGACTTTCCCTGGGGTCCAGTGGTGGCTCAGGTGGATGGGAGTCAGAGTTCCCACTCTGACTCCCTGGTCTTCCTCCCACGCGACTCTCAATGTTAGCTGGGAGCAGTGACGTGCAGTCACTTCCTCCCAGCTCTGTGATGTAATCACAGGGGCCCCGTCGCGCTGTTAAAGCGTCCAGCGCTGACCGGGCCCCCTCACAATCCACATCCACAATCCACATCCATCGGGTGGCCCTGACAGCATGGGCCACCCGATGGAACCCTCCATATGCGCAAATGGTGATGGCGGAACCCAGTCGCAAGGGTACCGCTGGCTTGCACCCGCCCTCTCAAAATTAGAAAATCCCTACCGTCCACCTAGAATTCTGAATATGCCCACTAGTGGGCGGTAGGGACCAGGTTTGACGACCCATGATCTAAACCCTCCATTCTATTTTCACAAGCTGCCATTTGTTGCCCCAAGTTTGCGGGGTCCATGGCCCTGTTGTAATGTCAAGGTTGAGCTCCCTGTAACGGATCGCCTGAGGACTCC